GCGGTTGTGATGGCACCTAGTAAAAGTGAGTAATATATAACCGTTCGATCTTTTATTATTTTTTAATTATGATCCCTAGCTCCTGAGATGTATGTCTGTTTCAGTGAGTACTTATCTTTAAGGCCTCCCCTTTCACTATGTTTCCAACTCTCTCCTGCCCTTTATCTGTCCATCTCTGTCTGTTTGTCCATCTCCATCTCTTCCAGCTTCAGTCTTTCCGTGACCTTGGGTGGACGACTTGACCTCTCTGTGCCTCAGTTTCCTCATCTGTAAAATAAAGCTAATAAGAGCATCTACTTCATAGTGTTGCTGTGATGAAAAACTGAGTTAAAACCTACCAAGCACTTAAAATAGGGCCACAGTAACCTCTTGACACAAGTATCATTAATTCAACATCATTAATTAATTAACCACGTTAATAAGTTCCTTGCTCCTGTCACAGTGGAGAGAGAGCTATTATTAAGCGTAAGCTATTATTGTTGTTTGTTATGATTCTTCTCTCTCCATGTCTTCGTCTCCTGCTCTCTCTTTCTGTCTGTCCGTCTGTCTCTGTGTCCCCGTGTCTGTCTTTCTCTCTCTATCCATCCGTTCAGCGCATACGTACAGGATGCCTTCCCCACGAGAGGCAGCGAGTTCTCAGCGGTGACCAGGACAGACAGGGGCCTGTCCCCGAGGAGCTCCCAGGCTCCTGAGAGTGGCAGATGTTAGAAAAATAAACACCCAAACAATAACGTGGGTTCCAGTTGTACCAAGGTGAAGAAACGTGAAGGATGCTGTGAGAGGAAAACAAACACACCCAACACCCCCAGGAGAGGGGCAGCCCTGAATGTCACTGAGGCCATGGCATTTGAGCTGAGCTAAAAGGGGGGGTGGGCGTCGTCGAGGGAGAGAGTGAGGGGAAGAGTGTTGGAGGCGCATGGAACAGACCACGGGGCGGCCTAGAGGAGGAGGGAGGCCAGGAGGGGGCTTGGAGCCATTCACAGAAGCCACATCCCTCTGGGAAGCAGACTGAGGGGGACGAAGTGGAGGAGGGAGAGGCTGGACCGGGGGGGCGGGGTGGAGGGGGGGAGACCCGGCTAGGTGTGAATTCTGTTGGGGAGGCGCCACCCAAAGGACCTGCAGATGGGCCGGCGTGGCTGAGAGAAGACTCAAAGGGGAGCCGTGAGTGGGGTGCCACTTATCAAGAGGGGGGCCTGGGGGCTGGGTTTGGGTCAAGTTGTGGGAAATTAAAACTATGTTTTGTCACCATTTTTAAAGTGACTTCCGGAATGCTTAATAATCTTTCTTTGTCCTTGTCTCTCCGTCTCTGCCCCTGTCTGTGCCCATCTCTCTGTCCTTCTCTATTCTGTCTCTATCTCTGTCTCCCTCTGTGTCTTGATCTGTCTCTGTCTCATTCTGCGTCTCTATCTCTGTTTTTCTCTGTCTTTATCTCTTCTTCCTGTCAGTCTCTGTGCCTCTCCATCTCTGTCTCTCTTTGTCTCTAAGTCTCATGTCTCTGTGTCTCTGTTTCTCTTTGTCCCTTGTCTCTCTGTATCTCTGTCTCTTGTCTCTCTGCGTCTGTCTTTCTTTGTCTTGTCTCTATATCTCTCTGTGTCTCTCATCTCTCTGTGTCTCTTGTCTCTCTCTGTCCTTATCTCTTCTCCCTGTTTTCTCCCCTGTGTCTCTGTTCCTCTCTGTCTCCCTGTCTCTGCCTCCATCTCTCTCTGTCTCTATCTACATCATTCTGTGACTTTATTTCTCTATCTCTGGCCCCAGCCTCCTCGTTCACATCTGTCTCTCTCCATCTCTGCCTCCCTCCACCCCCAACCCCAGCCTGGGTTCTCACGCTGGAGTCCCATTCCAGGAGCCATACCCCAAACCATTCCCACCGGCCAGGCTGGAAGCATCTCCACGGTGTGACTCCCCCACAGCTCTGTCCTGGACCCATCCCCAGATAACTGGGTCCCGTCTGCCTGGCCTCAGGCAGGACAGGACACAGGAGAGGCCACAGAACAGGGTCAGAGGGACGCCACGCCACTCCCTTCTCCCTCCTTCCGGCTGCCCAGCCCTGCCCCCCAACACCGGCCCCAACCAGCCTCCTCCCACCGTCCAGACCTTAGTCACGTCTGGGCGGCTGTGAGACCGGAGCCCATCCCGCAGCCCCCACGCCCCTGGCCTCCTCCGTCCTTGTGGTCAGAGCAGCTGGTCCCGGGAACAGGGCAGGGGTGTGTGTGGGGGGGTGGAGGGGTGGTCTGTGCCACCAGGAGACTGAACACAGGCAGACAGATGGACTCAGAGCCAGAGAACAGACAGACACCGAGAAAGAGCTGGAGACAGAGAAATCAGAGAGAGTGAGAGAGACAGGAACAGGCCAGAGAGACAGGGATGAGGCCCGAGAGAGACAGAGAGAGGCGCAGACACTCATGCTTCATCATCACATCACCTGTCCCCACAGCCCCTCATCTCATCTTCTGTCCACACAACCCCTCATCAGCGCCATCCACACCTGCTGCTCAGATGATCTCACCGGCCCCATGGCCTTAAACACCGCCTCCCCCCGGTGACTCGCTGAGGTTTCTCACCTGCGCTGACCTCTCCCTGGCCCTCCACATCCTGCATCCGACCACCTGGCTCCTCACAGGTGTCTCCATGCCGCCTTGCTCTGTCTCCACAAACGGGGCCCCAAAGGGGCCATCAACAGACCAAGCCTCGCGCCCCCCTTGCCTCCCTCCCCCCTCCCTCCCCTGATTTCCACCCATCAAGCAGTCTGGACCTCGACTCCACCCCCAAAACGAGCCCTGTGCCCATTCATTTCCCTCCTCCCTGGACCACAGCCTCTCCCACTGGGCTGTGGCCGCCTCCGCTGGTCTCCCTGCCTCCATCTCGCCCCCTACAATCATTCTCCACTAGGGGATGTTTTTTAAAAGTCAATAAGATCCTGTCCCCCTCCCTACCCTGTGCTTAAAAGCCATTGCACTTAAAGTAAAAGCAAATTCCTCTTCCTGGCGTGTGAATCCTGCAGGATCTTCCCTGGCCCCCCTCCTCGCTCTGCCTCACGCACACTGAGTTCTCTCTTTTTCCTGCAAGGCTCGCGGGCATGATGGCTCTCAGCCAAAATGTCCCCTCCTTTGAGACTCCCGGACCCCCACCTTATCTATGGTCACCCCACCCCCAGTCCCGGTCACTCTCTACATCACCCGAGTTCTCTGCACACGCATGACTACCAGATATTTGCTTGTTCCGTAGTTTTTCTGTTTGTCTGCCTCCCCAACTAGGATGGGAGCCCCAGGAGCGCCAGAATTTGCTTGTTCCTTCCTGTGTGTCGAGGGTGGACAGCAGAGCTCGGGGTACGGCCAGTATACGACTGCTTTTTGCTAGTGAAGACTTGGTCATGCTCCCAAGGACCGGGCGCCCCCCACACGCCTGACATTGCATCAAGGTGCCTCCCCGTGTTATCTCTTCGGATGTATTTTGGGAGAGAGGAACGAAGGCTATCCAGATTTTATGGAGGGGGAAGTGGAGGCCCACAGGGGTGCAGCCACCTACCCGAGGTTCCAAGGCTGAAGGCGATGCAGGATTTGAGGCCAGGAAAGTTTGGTGGGGAAGCACAGTGTGTGTGTGTGGGGGGGGGGGTAGCGAGAATGAGAGATTGAATGAGAGAGAGAAAAATGAGACGAAGAGAGAGGGAGAACGATGGAGAGAGAGAGGATAAAGATGGAGGGAGAGAGAGGGGAGAAAGATGGAGAGAGAGAGAAAGAAAGATGGAGAGAGAAAGAGACAGGGAGAAAAAGAGAGAGGAGAAAGAGAGAGAGAGGAGAAAGATGGAGGCAGAGAGAGAGAACGATGGAGAGAGAGAGAAAGATAAAGGGAGAGAGAGAAAGATGGAGAGAGAAGAGAAAGATGGAAAGAGAGAGAGAAGAAAGAAAGATGGAAAGAGAAAGATGGAGGGAGAGAGAGAGAAAGAAAGATGGAGAGAAAGACAGAGAAGAAATACAGAGGGAGAGAGAGGAGAAAGATGGAGGGAGGGAGGGAGGGGGAGGGGGGAGAGAGAGAGAGAGAGAGCGCGCGAGAGAGGGGAAGCTGAGAGAGAACCAAGAACCAAGACAGAAGGGGAGTGAGCCCAGGGTCTCCCGCTGGGTCCCTGCTCCCAGCCCCTCCCAGCCCCTCTGGCCCCCTGGCCCCGAGGCAGCCTGAGCGCTGAGCTGGAAGCTCCCAGCACCTGACCCGAGGAATGTGTCCCTGGGGGCAGGCCGGCCCAGCTGGGGATGCTTATAAGCCCCACGGGGACCCGGTAGGAGGCAGCAGGCGGGAGCTCAGCCGGGCGCAGCATCCAGGAGGCCAGAGGCAGCCAGGTGAGCATCCCGGTGGTCCCCACCCACTGCCCCCAGAGCGACTCTCCCTCCAGCTCCACGTCACTATGCCTCTCAGCCTCTGGATGTTGTATCTCCTCTCCAGAAGCCTCTCAGTCTCTCTCTAGTTAGGAGCATCTCTCCAATTCTCTGTCTCCCCTAGTCTCCCTTTCTCTGAATCTCTCTCTCCAGGACTCTGACTCTCTGTTTGTCTCTCTCAGCTGCCCTGTCTCCATCTTCCCTCCATCCCCGAGGGGCCATGTCTCCATCCTCCCACCTCTCCCCATTTACAGATGGAGAGACACTTTCCCTGTCGCTTCCTCCCCACCTTGTTCTCTCTCTTTCTACTTCTCTCTCCCCTCTTTTTTCCTCTCTTGGTCTCTGCATCTCTCTAAGTTCTGGATCTCTGGGCTAGGACCCTAGCCTCTATAATGTGTATGTTGGGGTGGGGGTGGGGGTTGGTATAGGTCCTTGTCTGCCCGATAATATCCCAGGGGGACAGGGAGGGAGGGAGAAAGAGACAGATGGAGAGACAAGGGCTATAGGACCCCCAGACTCACCTGAGATGACCCTCATGCCCAGGTGCCGACAGGATGACCACAGCAGGAACCCCCTGGGGCTGGTTCCTGGGGTGCCTACTCCTCAGTGTCACAGGTATCTGAGTGTGTGTGTGTGTGTGTGACTGTCTGTGCCTGAGGGCACAGTGTTTGTTACTGTGCAGGCGTGACTCAGTGTCCTCCCGGCTGTGACTAAAGCTGCGTGTGTGACTGCACTGTGTGGCAGTTGCTCTCCAGTCGCACATGTGTGATTCCTTGTATCACATGGAGCTTGCATGTGTGCCACCTGTGTCCTGTGTGTTTGTGTGGCTTTGTACGCCTCTCTGTGTGACACAGTGTGACGGGGCATGTGGTCGTACCTGTGCACGATCACCGACTGTGAGAGTCGGTGCATTACTAGGTGAACGACGCTGACAGTCTGTGCCTCTGAGCATCTGGCGGAGTGACAACTGGTGTGAGGACGCTGTGAGGACGTGGGAACCCCAGGGTGCCGCTCAAAGGGAGACGGTGCTTCTAGGAGAGTCACCCATTGCTGGGAATCTGTGCCTGCTTCCAGGGCCCCTCGGGGACTCACGTCCTGGGACGATGTCTGGGGTCTCTGTGTGAGCCCGCTTGTAGCAGGTGCGACTGCGGAGGAGGTGAGCCGGGGAAGACGCGACTCTGAGGGCCACAGGGAGCGACACTGTCCCCTTGAGCAGCCGGCTGTGTCACCCTTGCTCTGCCACCCTGTGTGAAGGGGTCTGCTTGTGCTGGGGGACTGTGTCTCCAACGATCATGAGCCTGGCATGCTGCTTGTGTGTGTGTGTGAGAGAGAGAGAGAGAGAGAGAGACATGGCACGTGGGTCCCGGAGGTGGGTGACAGACCCAAAGCTCACGCTCCCCCTGACAAGTGACCCTATCTCCTGTACCCTGATCTCCGCCTCCTGTGTCCCAACCCACCCCAAGGAACCTGACCCGCCCCCAGGAGATCTGGCCTCATCCCCTGAGCCCGCCTCCCCATTCCGGATACCAGCACTAAACACCCGGTCTCTGCCGTCAGGATCCCAGACTCCACCCCTAGGGCCCTGGCCACGCCCCCGCACCATGCCCTGGTCAGGCCCCCTGTGCTGTGACGCCCCCCCAGGAGCCTTAGTCCCGCCTCCTGAGCCTTCCCCGCTAGCCTGGGCCACGCCCCCCTGAACCGAGACTCCACCCCCAGAAGCTTTGGTTCCACCCTGAGCCCGTCTCCCAGTCCTGTCTCTGTCCAAGAAGCGCTGACCACGCCCCTACACCATAACCCCGCCCCCAAAAGCCTGGCTCCACCCGGAGCCCACCTCCCAGCCCTGACTGTCCACGAAGCCCCAACCACGCCCCTGCATTGTGGCCACGCCCCCAGGAGCCCCGGTTCCACCCTGAGCCCGCCCCCAGCCCTGACTCCGCCCCCAGGATGCCTGGCCTCCATGGGCCGGATCATAAACGGCGAAGACTGCAGCCCTTACTCGCAGCCCTGGCAGGCCGCACTGTTCACGGAAGAGGAGTTCTTCTGCGGGGGCGTCCTGGTGCACCCGCAATGGGTGCTGTCGGCCGCGCACTGTTTTCAGAAGTGAGTGCGGGGCAGCATGGGGTGGGGGCGGGGCCTGGGGGGACCTGGATGTTACGTTAGGTGAGGGGAGGGCCCCTAACATCAGGCTCAGCCTCCGGGTGCTAATGTGCAAATCGCCGTGAAGGAAGGCTCTGCGAGGGAGGTGGAGGCTGTTGCTTTGGAAAGACTCCGAGTCCTGGGTTGAAATCCCAGCTCAGCTGCTGCGTCACTAGCAAATGAAGGCACGTCCTTGCCCCTGGATTATTGACAGTGAGCAAGGATTTGAGATCATGGCGAGGAGCTGTTAGCAAGGAGGATGGGGTGTGGTTGAGGGCCAGAAAGGAGATAAAGGTGTAATTGCTACAAAACCAACTCGTCCCCCCGTGGCCCTCAGCTCCTACACCATCGGGCTCGGCCTGCACAGCCTTAAGGACAACCACGAAGAAGGCAGCTGCATGATGGACGCCAACCTCTCCATACAGCACCCAGAGTACAACAAGCCCTTTTTAGCCAACGACCTCATGCTCATCAAGTTGAAAGAATCGGTGATCCAGTCGGCCACCATCCGCAACATCAGCATCGCCTCCCAGTGCCCCACCCCTGGGGATTCTTGCCTCGTCTCGGGCTGGGGTCTGCTGAAGAACGGTGAGCTGAGGAGGGTGAGTGTGTCTGCCCTCCCTGAAGGGTTCTGCGCCCAGCCAGAGGGGCTGACCCGGAGCTCTGCGTCCCAGGCAGCCAGCCCAACGTGCTCCAGTGCGTGAATATCTCGGTGGTGTCGAATGAGAGCTGCAGTGCGCACTATGACGCCTTGTACCACCCCAGCATGTTCTGCGCTGGCGGAGGACAGGACCAAAAGGACTCCTGCAAAGTGAGAGATGGGGGAAGGGGAGAGCGGGGAGACCCAGGGACAGACGGAGAAGGGAAGGTGACAGCGACACGAGGGGACATGCAGTGAGAAACAGAGACACGGGGGGATAGCGACAATGCGAGAGAGATGGGGAGGAACAGAGAGACACAGGAATAAAGAGGAGCCGAGAAAGACAGAAACAGAAATAGACACAGGGAGGCGGGAACACAGAGAGACAGAGAGAGGAATACACCCGGAGAGACAGACAGACTCACAGAGATGAAATGCAAAGAGAAATAGGAAAAAAACAGAATCTAAAAAGAGACGTAGAGAGGCACAGAGAGTCTGGAAGTCGATGAGACAGAGAAACAATCCAGAGGGGCAGACAGAGGAGAGACACAAACAGAGACAGAACAGCAAACCCAGAGAACCGGCCAGCTGTTAGGACCGAGAGGAGCAGAATCAGGTGGGGTCAGGGCTGTGGAATGGAACCCCTAAGGGGTGTGTTGCTATCTTTTTTGAGGTTTTTTTTCTGTCATTGTCTCTCCGTCTCCTTTGGTTCCTCTCTCAACTCACATCTCTCTCCACCTCTCGTGTTTTGGATTCCCTCTCCAACAACAGGGTGACTCTGGGGGCCCCGTGGTCTGCAACGGGTACCTGCAGGGCCTCGTGTCTTTCGGACAAGCCCAGTGTGGCCAACCCTACGTTCCAGGCGTCTACACCAACCTCTGCAAGTTCACGGACTGGATCCAGAAAACCATCCAGGCCAGTTAACTCCTGAGGCTGGGACCCCTGAAACTGAACGCCCGAATATATGCAGCTGAAGGAATTCAGGAACCTGAGTTCGTAGTGCCTTTCTCCATCAGACCCTGGAGTCTAGACCCCCAGCCCCCTCCTCGCTCAGCCCCAGGAATCCAATCCCACCAAGTCTTTTCCTGTCCACAGCGCCCCCTGGTGGCACAGTGTTGACCAGCCTTGCCAGTGGTAGAGAAAGTTGGTTTTTCACCTTTTTTTGTTCCTTCCCCTAAGTCCAGAAATAAAGTCTAAGGAAGCACGGGCTCCGTTCGAACTGTCCTCCTTGCTTCCATTCCCATTCAAAGGACTCCAGCAAATAGCTTTTCTTCCTTGGGCCTCGGTTTCCCCATCTGGGAACTGGGAGTCTTGACCAGAAGGGCCCCAGGGTCCCAAAGGAAGGAGACATACCAAGGAGGTTAAGAGAAATGGATTCTGTGCACGTTGTCCAATTTCTGAAAAGGCAAGTCGGACAAGGGCAAATTAATGGGGTTTAGTTGACCAATTTTGGTTTCGTCTTCTTAAAGGCATTTCAAGAATTTTTAATTTATATCTGCCTCAGGACCCTGCTGCTGTAGCTGGAGAATGGTGGGAAGGATCATGACGAGAGCTGCTGTGGGTGAGAGAGAGGGAGAGCAAGGGGCAGAGATGGGGGAGACTGAGGGCCCAAGAACACGAGGAATTGTTATTATGCTCTTCATCGATAAATTATATTAATAAGAATATACTGGTAAGAACTAATATTCAAGAATACATTCATAAATATATTATTTATGAATCTACTCGTAAGAAGATATTCACATTTTTATGTACCTCTTATCTTCAAAATATAAGGGATATTCAAAAATATTCAAAAATAAGGGATGAAATAACTGAAAGGGAAATAGACAAATCCCCGTTCACAGAAGAGGATTTTAAGATGCCTCTTCGCAAATGGCAGAACACACAAGATGAAAATGAATAAGGAGGGGCCGGCCCTGTGGCCTAGCGGTTAAGTTCAGTGCACTCCCTTTGGTGGCCTGGGTTCGGTTCCTGGGCATGGACCTACACCACTCCTTGGTGGCCATGCTGTGGCAGTGACCCACATTCAAAATAGAGGAAGACTGGCACAGATGTTAGCCCAGGGCAAATCTTCCTCAGGGGAAAAAAAAAAAGAATAAGGACATAGATGATTTGAACAACAGGATTGACAAACTTCACTTAATGGTCATATGTAGCACATTGCACCCAGCATCTGAAGAATATGCAATCTTTCTGAAACACACGTCTACCAGAATGGCTAAAATCAAAAGGATGACGGCACCGAGTGTTGGCTAATACGTCGAGCAGCTGCAGCTCTCATACCTTGCTGCAGGGAGTGTAAAATGGTACAACCGCTTCGGGAAATAGTGTGGCAATTTCTTAGAAAGATAAACATACGTCTACCCCATGACCAGCAAGTCCACTCCTAGGTATTTATAACAGAGCAATGAAAAAAAAAATAGACTTGCTAAGGATGTTCAAAGTAGCTTCATCCACAGCAGCCAAACTGGAAACAACCCAAATGTCCAGGAAAGGGTGAGTGGACAAACCATCACATATCCACATAACAGAATGCTCCTCCGTAATAAGAAGAAGTAAACTCCTGATGTGCACGACAACATAGGAGCATCTCATAGGCATTGTGCTGAGTGACGGAAGCCAGACACAAGCTATTATACACTCATGCGCCCCAGGGTGATGTTTCGGTGAATGACAGGCCACATATCCGATGCTGGTCCCATGAGATCAGCACCAAAGAGCCTAGGTGTGCAGTAGGCTATACCATCTAGGTTTGTGGAAGAACACTCTGTGATGTTTGCACAACGACGAAATCGCCTAGTGACGCGTTTCTCAGAATTATCCCCGTCGTTAAGTAATGCATTACTGTACACTGTACGATTCCATTTATAGAGGAAATTCGAGCACAGGCAAAACTAATCTAGGTTGCCTGGTTACTGGGACAGGAAGAGATGGGTGGCTGTGGAGACAGACTTGGAAGTGACACGAGAGAACTTCCTGAGGTGGCGGAAATGTTCTGTAACTTGACAGGAGTGAGGGACTACGTGGGGGCATGCATCTGTCAGAACTCCCGAAGGGGACACTTGAAACCTGCACACCACACTGTGTCTGCCTCATAAAAAATGACCCCTCGATAAAAAACTTCACACAGCCCTTACGAAAACTGAGCTACGAAGCAAGTCGCAACCAAGTTCAAAGTTACAATATGCACAGGATGTTGTCTGACCAGATTGTGATTAAGCTAGAAATCGTGACAAAATGATAACCAGAAAAGCCCCATGTGTTCTCGCTTTTAAAATATGCTTCTAAATAAACCACAGCTCAAACAAGAAATCATAACGGAAATTAGAAAATATTGTGAATTACATGATAAGGAAAACACAACATGATAAAATAGCAAGAGTAACACTAAAGAATAGAAATAGGGAAATAAATTCCAAACAAGCAGAAAGAGAAAAATAAAATAAGGGGGGAAAAATCCCACTAAATCAAATAACCCAGAAAAGCTAGGATGCATGGAAAAAGCAGGATAAATAGTAATTTAAAAGTAAGATAATATCAATAGTGCTAAATATATCAATAATAACAATAAATGCAAGTGGTTAAAACTCAGATTAGAATTTTTTTTTTTAGTATGCTTTTTGGTGAGGAAGATTGGCCCTGAGCTAACATCTGTTGCCAATCTTCCTCTTTTTGTTTTCTCCCCAAAGCCCCAGTACATAGTTGTAAGTCATTCTAGTTCTTCCATGTGGGATGCCACCACAGCATGGCCTGATGAGCAGTGTGTAGGTCCACGCCCGGGATCCGAACTGCTGAACCCTGGGCGCCCAAAGCAGAGCACGTGAACTTAACCACTCAGCCATGGGGCAAGCCCCCAGATTACAATTTAAAAGACTGTTATATGCTGTTTACAAAAGACACACTAAAAGCTCATAGAAAAGTTGAAAGCAGGGATGAAAAGAAAAGAAATATTACCCCTTAGAAAAGTACCGTAGGTTTACTAATGTCAGTCAAATAAGGCATTCGCACTGAAACCATTATTAGACATAGTGGATTGCTACAAAACAATAAAAAGTTCTTTATAACAAATATAACAATTCTAAACCTGAATATTCCTAATAAAATAGCTTCATAGTACTTAATATAAAAACTGGTAAGACTACAGGGGCAAATGGACTGATTCACCCATTAAAAATGTGAGATTTAAACAAAAAAAAAATGGGGCTGGTGCTGTGGCTGAGTGGTTAAGTTCGTGCACTCCGCTTCGGTGGCCCAGGGTTTCACTGGTTCGGATCGTGGGCATGGATGTGGCACCGCTCTCAAGCCACGCTGAGGCGGCGTCTCCATGCCACAACCAGAGGCACTCACAACTAGAATATACAACTATGTACTGGGGGGATTTGGGGAAAAAAACCACACACAAAAAGTGTGAGATTTCAACACAGTTATGTATCATAAAAAGGATTCCGTGTCATAGTCACATTCTCCAACCACGATGCAAGAAAATTAAAATTCAGTGAGCACATTGACAGAATATCCACACACGCAGAAGTTAAAACACAACCACCTCTCTAAATAATTCACGATGAAAATTAAATCATATTGGAAAAACTCCTAATGGAAATTTTAAAATGTTGAGAGTTGAATGATAAAATATATATATATATATATTACACAGCAAAACTTGTGGAAAGCAACAGATTTATAGCTTTAAACGATGATATTAGAAAAGAAGAATGGATGAATATAAATGAGCCACTGTGTCAGAGAATAAACCTAACGCAAAGGAGACACTGAGATGGGGAGACCTCCAGGAATCAAGAATGGGGTGTTAGCTGGAGGTGAGGGCAGCCTGGGGTTCTGGGCCAGAAGTCCCTCAGTGCCTGGCCCCAACCCCTGCTCTGGGCACCCGGATCTGGAGGTGGTAGGCGGAGGAGCGTGGACCGAAAGATTGCACTGTCTGACCGCTAAGGCATGTGGCCACCAGCCCTAGGGGTGGGACAGCCCGGCAAAGAGATGCTTATAACTCCGCGTGGAGCTCCGTGTGGCTCCAAGAACTGGTGGCAGATGGCAGCTCAGCCCAGGCCAGATGGGCCACATGAGTGAGTGAAAGTGTGTGGCTGTGTCCTGCCTCTCTGCCCCCCATCTCACCTTCTGGGTGTCTGACGTCTGTGTCTCCGTCTGTGAGTCTCTGAGTCTGTCCCTCTCTGTCTCTGTACCCTCCAGACTCAGCATCCTGCCAGCTCTCCTCTCAAGCTGTGTCGCCATCACCTGGTTCTGCCTAGCTTGGACGCTTTTGCTTTCTCTCTCTCCCTCTCCCCCCTAGTGTCCATGTTTCCGAGTTTTACTCCATGTTTTTCTGATTTTTTTTTTTTGTCACCGTCACTCCATCTTCCCACTGCTGCCACTTCCTGTTGTTGACTCTTTATCATCTCCTCCTGGCTGTGTCCCACTCCCGTTCTCTACGTCCCTAGGCTCCATGTCTCAGGGCCAAAATCTCGGAGCCGAGGATGAGGTGCCCTTTCCCTGCCCAGAGATCTCCTGGGAGACAGTGGGAGAAAGGAGTGAGAGGGAGGGTGGGCCGACCTGGCCAATGCGCCTGGCCTCACCTGAGGACTCGGTGGACTGGGAGACTTCCCACAACTCCCGCCTGAGCGGCAGGACCGGTCTGGAAGAGGGAAAGGTGTGAATGTGAGATGATGTGCGCAGTGGGGTGAGTTTCGAAACTACGTGTCTGAGGGCGCAGAGAGATGAAGTGTGGAGGGGGCGAGGTCCAGAAGAGGGGTCCCCGCTGGTCATTCTCTTGACCAGAGACTCTGTCCCTACCTCGCCCTCCTGAAGCTTCCTGGGTCCTCATCCTGACCCTTGAGCTCTGGCCCCGCCCCAAAGCCCTGATTCCTCCCCTTTGAGCTCTGACTTCGCCTCCAGGAGTCCAGGCCGATGCTGGGAAAACTCTCATCATTAATGGCACGGAGAGCAGCCCGCCCTGCCAGCCCTGGCAGATGGCCGTTTGCAGGAAGAAGGACTCCACTGTGCGGCTCCTGTTGCATCCCCAAGGGGTGCACACTGCCTTTTGCTGCGAGCGCAGGGCTGGGGGCGTGGCCTGACTCAGGGCGGGGCCTTCCTGGGTCGGGCAGGACCGGAGGCAGAGCTTCAGCTCAGGGGCGGGGCTTCATTTCGGGGGCGGCGCTTCATCTTGGGGACCGGGCCTGAATAGAAAAGCAGCGCGCTTTTCTTCACCTGTGAAAAGGAGCTTGGCACAAAGTTGGAGAGCAGGCCTGGACTGGGAATGGGTCTGCAGCTGGAACTGAAGATGCAGTTGGGCTTGAGGATGGAATTGAGATGGGGCTGCAATCCAGGTGAGAATGGAGATGAGGATGAGGCCGTCAGGGGGTGGGCTGTGAAGAATAAAAGAGGTGTGAGACAGCATTGTGAGACGCAGCCCACCCCATCCGGCCCCACTAAGGGAGAGAATGCTTCCAGTGAAACTACAACGTGCTATTGAACTCAAACACATCCAGTTTCATAGATGTTGAAAAGGAAGTCGGAGACCGGATGAAATACAGTGGTATTATCTCCCATCTGCGAGTTCGGGAAACTGAGGCCCAGACTGCCTAAGACGCAATCCCGGGTCCACGCGGTAGTGCTGCTGGTGGTGACCCCTCCCCAGGAGATGACGCCCACCCCCTTGAAGGCGGCCAGCGGCTGACGGATGGGCCCCGGGGAACAAAAGCAGAGCCCCCTTCTTCAAGGTGGAAACAACCCGGGGGTGCAACTCCTCCTCCAGGGCTCCCCGGGGCTCAGGCTGGAGCGGACTCAAGCCAAGAACACCCTGTATCCTTGCTCGGCGACATTGCATCCTTCTCTTGAGCTACCTACTCTGCCTCTCTATTGTAATAACATACTTTTTTTTAAAGATTGGCAAGTGAGCTAACATCTGTTGCCAATCTTCTTTTTTTTCCTTCTTTTTCTTCTTCTTCTCTCCAAAGCCCCCCAGTACATAGTTATATATTCTAGTTGTAGGTCCTTCTGGTTGTGTTATGTGGGACACCGCCTCAGCATGGCCTGATGAGCGGTGCCATGTCCAGGCCCAGGATCTGAACCAGTGAAACCCTGGGCCACCAAAGCAGAGTGCGCGAACTTAACCACTTGGCCACGAGGCCGGCCCCTCACAAGGATATCTTTCACAAGAAGCCAAATCTCAGGTTTGCTTCAGCGGAAGGGCACCTAAGACACACAGCTGGTGGGTGACAGCACCAGGACACCCTCTTAACCACAGCTTTAGGCAGCTTTCCAACTTCTCCTGCCCTGCCACCTCCGGGCCATGCAGCCCATTCGCAATGCCACCGTCCCCGAGCACAGGGGCTTCAGACAGCCTCTTGGCTTTATATGTTTCTTGAGACAGAATCACTCCATCACTCGTGCAACTTCAGGGTAAATAGGTCAGATTTCTCAAGAAGTTTAACTTTACTTACCCTTGGCCCTTCCTTTGCAATCTCTTTTTCATTCTCTTCTATTAAGGCTGGGCAGCAACAGAACTATTATTTTTTTTGGTAAAGATTGGCACCTGAGCTAACAACTGTTGCCAATCTTCCTTTTTTCTTTTTCTGCTTTTAATCCCCCCCAGTACATAGTTGTATATTTTACTTGTGCGTCTTTCTAGTTGTGGCATGTGGGAAGCTGCCTCAGGTGGCCTAACAAGTGGTGCCATGTCCGCGCCCAGGATGCGAACCGGCGAAACCCTGAGCCACCAAAGTGGAGTGCATGAACCACTCAGCCATGGCGCCAGCCCTGAAACAGATTTTTTAAAAGTATATTTGAGGGTGCCAGCCCCGTGGCTGAGTGGTTAAGTTTGCACGCTCCGCTGCAGGCGGCCCAGTGTCTCGTTGGTTCAAATCCTGAGCGCGGACATGGCGCTGCTCATCAGATCACGCTGAGGCAGCGTCCCACATACCACAACCAGAAGGACCCACAACAAACAATATACAACTATGTACCGGGGGGCTTTGGGGAGAAAAAGGAAAAAATAAAATCTTTAAAAAAAAAATGTTTTAAGTATATTTGAGTGGAAATGACAGATACAAAAGATCAGCAAAGATAACATATATATCATTGGAATCCATGAGAGGGAAGGAATAAATGAAGTCAAAGCAATGAAGAGAACAAATATTTAGGGGACGGCCCGGTGGCGCAGCGGTTAAGCGCACACGTTCTGCTTTGGTGGCCTGGGGTTTGCTGGTTCGGGTCCCAGGTGAGGACATGGCAGTGCTTGGCAAGCCACGCTGTGGCAAGTGTCCCACATATAAAGTAGAGGAAGATGAGCACGGATGTTAGCTCAGGGCCAGTCTTCCTCAGCAAAAAGAGGAGGATTGGCAGTAGTTAGCTCAGGGCTGATCTTCCTCAAAAAAGAAGAACAAATATTTGTAAAAACCATACTTCAAGACAACTTTTGGAAAAAGAACACGGGAATCTAGGCGTAACATAAGCCAAAAACTGATACCACTGGGCACACACGAGCACATGCTCACACACACTAGCTCACACTCATATACCCGTGCCAGAGAATAAGAGCCCCCAGAATGCAGGTCTGGAGGTTACAGAACTGTGGCCCTCACGTTCGCACGGGAGATGAGCACGGAAACGCAGGCTAATTTGGGGACTGTGACCCAAAGAATGTCCACTCTTCCCTTTGTCTGTTTCTTTGGTCCCGCGGAAGATACTGGGCAGGGAGGGGCCGTGGAACAGGATGCTCCCTCTTGGCTCTGAGATCTCAGAGGACAGCCCTAGAACGTAGGGGGCCGGAGACTCAGGGAAGAAAGTGGGGCAGCAAGAGTGACAGGCAGGAGAGGGGCAGCTACAGAGACTGAGCCTTGAGGAGGGGCATGTGGAGGATGTCCATGCCAGGTGTTAAAAATGAGTGTGGACGGAGGAAGGATAGAGACTCAGAGAGGCAGAGAGAGAGACAGACAGACAGAGACAGACACAGAGACCGAGAGGCAGAGACCACGGAGACAGAACGGCAGGGGTAGGCAGAGAGGGAGAGGCGGAGAGACAGCACAGAATGAGGGGGCGTTGGGGAGAGGACGGCAGAGGGGGCCTTCAGGGACCTCAGAGCCAGGCTGGGACAAAGCGGGTGTGGGAGGCAGAGAGCACCCGACCTGCCAGCTCCAGAGTCCGGGGCGGGGCTGACGGCCTGCCTCTTCCTGTGGGGGCTCCGGGGGCCTTATGAGCATCCCTAGCCTGGGGACAGCAGGCACACTGGGTGGGGTGTCACGGGCAGCCTGATCACAGCCCCGTACAGGGTTCCTGGAGCAGGAGCAGGGACCATGGACCCAGGGAGGGGACCTGACCCAAACCAGAGGCCGCAGATGCTCCCCAACGGCTCCCTCTGCCCTCCCTGTTCTCTCTGTCCCCCTTGCAAGTGTCTTGGTCTCTTTCACACTCTTCCGTCTCTTTGTTTCTGCAGGTCTGCGCTGTGCTGTCTTCAGCTTCCTCTGCTCTCTGCCTGGTATCTCTCATTCTACGTCTGTGTCTTTCTGTTTCACTTCCCCCTTCATTCTCTCCTTTGGACCTCAGGGGCCGAGGGCTGAGTTAACCTTATTCCCGAGTTCACGGACCTCTCAGTGAGCATTCCATGACGGGCCCCTCCACGCCGTTCACATTCACATGTTCAGGCTTTGACTCACACCCTCAACGAATAACTCATGTGTTCCCGCTCGTCCCCACAGTCCACTCCCCAGAGGCAGCCTTCCAGTGTTTCCAGCGTTTTCTGTAGGGCACTTGATTGTGCTCACAGAAGGGGTATCTAGGGGCTGGCCCAGTTGCATAGTTTCCTAGAAAGACCCCGTTGCAGACCAGCACACTCCCTGGGCCACCCTACTGCACAAGGCGGGCAGACAGAGCGAGAAGAGTCAGTGGGGACCCGGGGTCTGCCTGTGGGACCCCAGCTTTCAGACCTGGGCTCACAGATCATACATGGCGAGTCCCCAGCTATGGGGAAAGAGACGGCTGTCTCCAGAGACCACTCCCAGAGAAGGTAGGCAGGGATTTCAAGGGAAGGGAGAGCGGCTCACGTCCTGGCCACTGGGGATGGGATGCAGGGTCCAGGTTCTGCCCATGGATGGTCCCTGCAGACGGGTCAGGGGGAGGAGGAACAGGATCCATCTCTGGGACACTTCCTCCCTCAGGGCTCATCTCCGCTGTCATCCCTCCCAGGAAGTTTTCTCTGATGACACCCTCCTCTCCCCGGGGCACTGGGGAGCCATGGAAGGTGGGTGAGCAGGGGAGGGGCAAGGCCAGTTCTGAGATTAGAATGACCCCCTGGGCCAGGTGGGGACGGACTGGACAGAGAGACTGAGGGCCGAGAGCGTGTGAAGAAGGCTGGGGTGAGGGTCCAGGTGGGAACAAGGCCTGATCTGGGGCTGGGAGGATGGGACAGAAAGCAGGGACGTCAGTGAGAGTCAGGGGGCAGGAGGGACGAGCATGGAGGGAGGGACCAGAGGGAGAGCTGCTGGTGGACGGAGGAACCAGGGGGAGGAGAAGGAGCAGGTTGGGTGGGAAACGCTGGGCTCAAGTAGGACTTGGTGAGTGTGTGTGTGTGTGTGTGTGTGTGTGTGTGTGTGTGGTGAGGGGTGTGAGACATCTCCTTGGGGCTGCTCAGCTGACACTCAGACCAAAGCTCAGGATCATCCTTAGTCCTCGCCGCCTCTCACTCCCACTGACACTCCGTCAGCGAATCCTGTGGGCTCCCTTTCGAGGTACCCAGAGTGGACCCCATTTCCCCTCGTCTCTGCCACCACCGTGCTCAGCCTCATCTTCACACCCTACCAGGCCCGCTGCCTCTCCTCACCCCTGGACACTGACCCCACAAGGACGCCAGAGAGGCCTGTGAACACCCAACCCAGACCCTGTCCTGCTCCTGCTCAGTACCACCCACCCCTCCCGGGTCCCTCAGAGGAAGAGCAAAGTCCTCCCCTGGCCCCAAGGAGGCCCCGCAGGACCGGCCCTTTCTTCCCCGAGCTGTCACCTCCCGCCCTCTCCCCTGCTCGCTGGGCTCCACCCACACTGGCCTCACTGGTCCTCACACACACCAGGCCCACATCCCTCGGGGCCTCTGCTGTTCCCTCTGCTCTTCCCCCAGACAGCACGTGGCTCACCCTCACCTGCCGCAGGTGTCTGCCCAGCCTCACCTTCCACACGAGGTCACCCCTCTCATCACACCGGCCACCTCCCTGGCTCTGCTCTCTCTCCTCCCGCCCCCACAGCTCCCTCACCTCCTGACACACAAGGAGAGAGGCTGCTCACCACGCAGGTTTCCTTGCCAACCTCCAAGGGCCCAGCACACGACAGGAACTCTGTCACCATCTCGAGGGAGCTTTTGGCACACACATCATTAGACAGGAGTGTGAGGTCCATACACGGAAGTTCATCTGGGTACATCACTATGAACCAGGGAGATAAAGTGCTGTGGCCGACCCATGTGTCCCCAGCCCTCCTCCCTCAGACCCGGGAGTCCAGGCCCAGCCCCTCCTCCCTCAGACCCAGGAGTGCAACCCCCAGCCCCTCCTCCCTCAGACCCAGGAGTCCAGGCCCCAGCCCCTCCTCCCTCAGACCCAGGAGTCCAGGCCCCAGCCCCTCCTCCCTCAGACCCAGTGGTCCAGGCCCCCAGCCCCTCCTCCCTCAGACCCAGGAGTCTGGGCTCCAGGCTGCAGGTCTGGCCCCCAACATACACTTATCTGATCCAGTCCCGCTTCAGCGGGAGGCACAGCAGAGGCTCCACAGTGCGGGTTCCTGGGCGGGCAGGGCCAGGACCTGCACGGCGGCTGTGAGCCGAGTGGGCTGCACCAGGCGGAGCAGCATGAGGTCGTGGCTGCAGTCGTCTCCTGGGATGAAGATGTTCTGCTTCAAGAGGCTCAGCTTGAAGTCAGGGTGTGGGAAGCTGTCACTGACCTGGAGGAACTGGACTGTGTCTTTATCCTCAAACGAGTCACAGCACCCCAGCCAGACCTGGTCATCGCCGGGGAGAGAGGGGGACGGAGGGAATGAGGGGGGGAAGGGGGAAGGGAGATGGGGCCGGGGAGCCTGGGGGAGGGTCCAAAGCAAGAAAGAGAAACAGAGACACAGAGAGACAGAGAGAGCGAGCCAGAAAGATACAGAGTCACAGAAAAAACAGACAGTGAGTGAGAAAATAAAGGGATGTGACAATGTTAAAAATACAGACAGAAAAAGAATAAAAAAGAACAAGTGAGAAACAGAGAAGAGGAGGCCAGGGAGGGGGAGTCAGAGTGGGGGGGGCAGGAGGTGATGCAGGGGAGGAGGGGAGGCCTGAGGCGGCTCAGCGGCAGCTGGGGCTGTGGGGCTGGTTCCCCAGCAGCTGGGTGGCCCGGCCCCCCCAAGGCCAGCGTCCCCTCCCTCCCCAGCACCTTCTCCCTTTCTCCTTCTCCTTCCACCTTCCTCCATTGCCCCCACCCAGTGCCAGCTGAAACCAGCCCTTCCCTGTGTCCCCCTGGATGAACGACGCCCTGGAGGGAGGGGCTGGGCAGCGTGAGAAGCACCCCCATATCCCACCTGCTGGGGATGATCCCTTCCTTTTCTCTGGGGGTCCCCCCCAGTCCCATCCTGGGGGTGAGCGTGCTCAGCAGTGATGGGAGAGAGGGAGTGAGGCAGAGAGATGGAGGGTGAGACACACAGTGACAGGGATGGCAGCTGAGAGACCCAGAGATGGACAGAGACAGGGAGAGACAGAAGAGAGGGGGAGATAGAGACAAATCAAAGTCACACAGAGAGACACACAACAAAGTCAGTTACTGAGAGACACAGAGACAGGACAGAGGGAGACACAGGAAGACAGAGAGCCGGTTGCACGGGGAGACACAGAGAGACCAGGCAGCCATGGCAGGGCTTCCCCGGGGCCGTCCAGTCCCAGCCCCGCCTCTCTCCCTGGGCCCTGGACCAGTGCCATCCTTCTCTCCCTCAGCCCCCAGCCTCCCCTGAGGTTATCCCAGGAGAACGGCCCTGGCTGACCATTCCTGTGGGAGCACAGACGCTCCCCCCGCCAGACCCCCTGATCCTACTCACTCGCTCTTGCAGTGGGCGGCTGCGAGCACCCACTGGGGATGCACCAGGACACCCCCGCACTGGAAGTCAGTGTGACAGTACACAGCCACCTGCCAGGGTCTCGGACGCTTCTCACACTCCCAGTCTCCTATGACCCGGGACTGGACGAGGCCCACGACATCTGTAGAGGGGATTGCCTTGGTCAGAAGGGTGGGTGTTGCCTACGGGGCCAGGGGACTGGGCTAGGAGAGGCAGCCGTGCTGTGGGGTTGGGGTGACACGGGGGCAGAGGACCAGGCTGGGGGTCTGGGGACATGGGCAAGGGGTGTTGGGAAGGACCCGGAATTCTGGAGCCGTCCCTGGGATTGGGGGGTGGGCGGCTGGTCCTGGGTGGGGAGACTTGATGCTGACAGCAGAGCTGACCCCAGGGATCAGGATAGGAGATGACAGGACAGCACTGGGGCAGGCATCGAGGGTGGGGGTCGGTGATTTGGGGCCTTTGGCTGGGGGACAGGCAGCTGTGGGGGAGGTGTGGGTTCAGAGAGGGGGAAGGGGTTCTAGAAACCAGTGTTAATGACCCCAAGGGAGAGCGCCATTGGCTGGGAGAAGAAGGATTTGGGGCGTTTTAAGGAGTCTCAGGCTGGGAAATCATCTATGCCCGGGGTGGGGTTTTAGGGTCATGAGGAGGCCTCAATATTTAAGGGACAGTGTTGAGAACTGACTGCTGGATGGGAAACGTCACCGAGGCATGGAAGGACTTGGGGGCTCAGGAGCCAGAGCACTGGGCCCCAGAGAACTAGGAGGCAGGAGGGGATGATCAAGGTCCCAGGGTCCAGGGAGGAGGCGCGTCCTTGGAAGAACTGGAGAACCCCAAAGAGAAACACAGAGATGGCCCAGGCTCTGCCTGTCTGGTAAAGGAGAATGTTCTGGGAGTAACTGGGAGGAAGCAGGGACCCAGTGTGGGAGTGAGGAATGTGACAGCGTGGAGAGCGGCAGAATGTTTTGGGCTGGGGATGGGAGAGATAGAAAAGAGCCTGGTACACTGGTCTAGGGTGGATGGTGGGCTGCGTGGCATGAGGCTGGGGTGCCAGCTGAGAGGGGAAGGACTTACGGGGAGGTGAGACCAGCATGAGACTCAGTGCCGCTCCACTCCTGCATCTCCTGATACTCATTAGTCCATCCCAGGGACACAGCCAGGCACAGGGCCAGGAACCACGTGGTGAGCAGGCAGTGAGCTCGGAGCTGGGGAGCCTCCCTGGGGAGCCTTTAAATGGTCTCACACCCCCAGGGTCCCGCCCCTGCCCTACCAACACCCGGATGTTGGCCAAGGCCCTGCCCATGATTCCAGGATGTGGACATGCCTCACCTCCACCCCCAAGGCTACGGAAGGAATGAAATAGCCTGAATGCATAAGATACTAGGTTTCCAATAAGTTGGGTATCTCAGTTTTTTCAGTAAAACCAGAGCAGCTCACGTGGGTCCAGCACCCGCCATGTCAAGCCATTGATCAGATCTTCCCCGTCTCCCGGCTGAGGAACAGGAGAAGCTCCCAGTGAGAGAGACAGAGTGGTCACAGACACTCACAAGTTAAGCCCATAAGGAATGAGGCAAAGGAATCTATTCAGTCAGTGGTCTGAACCCCCTCTCCCCCACATACACACACAGACCAGGTTCTCCAGTGTCACCCTGTGGGGACAAATGTGCCTCAGGTTTCGTGAAGAATCCCTGGATCCAGTTCCTCATTCCCATCCTAATCCTCTTCCCCAACATCAACCAACATCTAGAACAATTCAACCCACTAAACTCAACCCAACCAACCATAATGCCACACAACTCCAAGCCAAGGCAAGTGAACCCATCCAACTTAACCTAACCCAAGACAACCCCACAGCCTCCCCATTCAAAAGCAACACAAACCCAAACCCATCCTCCCATCGCCACACAAGCCGATCCTAATCTCCAAGACTACTACCATTCCCGATTCAACTCCCATGTACTTCCCATCCCAAATCAAACCAAACCCCGGACCATGCCCTCCCACAACAGCCCCCACATCATCCAGGCCGGGCCAATCCAACTCTACTCAGCCCTGTTCCCAGTTCCAACCACAACCACAACTCCACCCCCGATTCTGACTGCTCTTCCTACTCCATCCCCTAACCCTATCTCCGGCGTTTTCCCTGGACCAACGAAATCCAAACCCAAGCCCATCCCGCTCCTGAACCCGCCACATCCCTCTCTCATCCCTGGGAACCCCCTCTCGGCTCCGACCGCACGGCAGTCGCTGCCCCGCCCTCCACGCCTGGACACACCCCGGTGTCCATCAGGCGCCCGGGGGGTCCTCGTTACAAGCTGTGGCCGCGATCACGCTGGCCTTGGCAAAAACGCAACACGTGGAGGAGACTCACTGGGCAGCGCGGAGGACCTACAGCAGACCACACGTTCAGGCCACTGTCCCCTCCGTCCCGAAGCCCCGGCGGTCGTCTCGTCGGTCTCCAGCACCCTGCTACCGGCGCGCCCAGGGCAGCGCTTCCGGGCGCCTCACCTGACACGTGGCTACGTCAGACGGCACGCACGCCACGCCCACAAGGGGGCAGACGGGGGCAGCGCCGAGGCGCGCACGTGTCGTGAGGCTGTGGGCGTGGCTAGTCGCGACGACATGACGTCATGGCGGGGCAGGATGAGGCTAACAACGCAGACATCAGAGCATGCGCTACAGGGTGCGCGGGTGTTTGGAGCCATTGCGCTTGCGCAGTTTGTGCTGGCCTGGCTGAGTCCGCGGGGAGCTGAGCAGGTGCGTGGTTTCCCGCGGAGCGTGCATAGTAGTTGGAAAGACCAGAGTGGGCAACCTTGAGTCCCCACGCTGTCGGGGAACCTGGACGTCCAGTTACTACCTCTTATCAGCCTGGAACCGATAGTCCCTGCTCCTACCTCTCAGATACAGAAGCGTTCCAACACGTGCGCGCAAACACACACACAGACGCACGCTCGCACACACGCTGTTCTAGCCCCAGGCTGCAGCACTTGCCTCCTCAGGATACAGCAGTCTGGGACCCTCTCCCAGGACCCACTCAAATGCAGGAGTCCAGACTCTCACCCTCTACCTCCCCCAAGATCCCGGAGTCTGGGCTCCCAAACCTCCACGTCCCCCAGTCCAGAACCCAGGAGTTCCCACTCGCAGCCACATTCCTTCGGGACTCTGAGCCCTGCCGTCACACCAGGTTTGGCAGTGGGCTTCAGACAGCATCCAGTGTGGGAAAGGGAGGGAGGGACCGCAACTGAAACTGACACATTCAAGAGGGCCGCGGCGAGGCTGAGAGCGCGGCACACACTCCTCACCTCCCCAGACCTGTCTGTCTTGTGCCACTGGGAGAAGAGTACAGGAACCCAGAGAACAGGGTCCTTTTCCTCACCCTCTGTCTCCTTGCTACGCCCCGCTCTGCCTACATATTCTTCACCTATGCCTTTCCTTCAATTTCTCTAGGAGTCCCTGATGAGTTTTTTCAACGTTGCCCTCTTTCTTTGAAAACTTATCTTTTCTGCAGAACTGTACTCCTTTTGTCTCCCCAGCTCCTTTGCTATAGGTCCCTAAAGAGAGAGGGTGGCAAAGAAGAGGGTAAGGAGTTTTCTGTGATTTGGGAGGGAGGCAAGGACACTGGATACAGGTTCAGACATGTGGTCACTTGGTACCGGTCATTCAAGGCCACCCGTCTGTCACAGATAATAAACAGATGTGGCCGCTAGTATTTATGACACACAGACTTGGTCCCAGAGTCTGGACATCTCAGCCAAACTCAGTGTCATACAATGACATGAATGTGGCCATACTGGTTCATGGACGTGCATACATGAGCAACCAGCCTTCCAAACTTAGGTACTGACATGGACAGCCCTTTAAGCTGAAATTCACTTGACATGTGCACAGGTTGCTACTTCAACAGTCACAGCACAGACTTCACATGTATATGTAAATATGGACGGCTAAGATGGGCGCATGCATACACACACATACACATATGCATGAAGCTTTGGACATAAAAGCTCAGACATAAATTCACAGTCTCCAGTGGATGTCTGGACATCCAATGTCGCAGATGCACACACTTGTACACAGGGTCCAGGCGTAAAAGGTGGGGTCCTTAATAACACAAGGGAGAGGCATCATTATGCACTCAGGCCCCTAAAGACATGTTCACAAACATGAGTCTATGATATGGTGGTTATAATCCAGAATTTGGCTTCAGAGTGCTTCTGTTTCCTTATCTGTTAAATGGGAGTTGTTGTAAGGGTTAAATGGTTGTGTGTGTGTTTGTGTGTGTGTGTGTGTGTGCGCGTGTGTGTTATAATGCCTGGAACATAGTAACTGCTTAATAAGTTTAGTTACTTTAATCAAAAATGCATGATATTTTATGAGACATGTATTTGGATTTTTATCTTGTGGGCAGAAATATGGCCAAAGTCAGACATACATGATAAGATAGTTAAGGTCAAAACTTGATTCATCCACAAGCCGCTTAGTGGTGATTCAAAGTTGCAGGCACAAACCCAGAAGCCGAGCACTCAGATGTGGACCCTGGACACAGGGCTGGCCGTGAAGGTGAAACACACATAGCGAGAGACACAGGCAGCCAGGACGGGACATATCCATCCATCTCTAGATGAGCCCTCACATCAGACACTTGGTGTTCAAAGTCACTCATTGGGTTTGACCTATGGGGACACGGTTCACACGTGCAGGCAGGTAGTAGACAAGTAGAGCCTTGCACATCTACCACCCACACACACACCTAGAACTGGACTATGCACAAGAACCAAAGAGATTTTCAAGGTCAAAGGACTATGAGCTTCTGTTCTGGGAAATATGGGGGTATCCTCTCAAGGTCAAAGCCACATTTATACACACATACAGCAACATTAGGGCAGGAATTGCACATAGAGATCAAAGGACCACATTCTGCCCCCTGTTGTTGGAAACTGGACCTAGGAATACAGTGAGCAGGGGACACAGATGCGGTGGGTGAGGGGTATGAGGGAGAAAGAGTGAGATTGTCTTGCGGGGAGAGGTGAAGGCTGGAAGCCAAATGACTTTGGGAGAAAAGTCTCTGTGGGTCTGTCACGTGTCTTCAGAGCAAAGGATGAATACATTTTCACTCTGGACTGTCTATCAAGGTTGTTTGTCTGCCAAGCAGCCTTGCATGGTGGTATCGCCCCCAGAGAAAGCTTGTTTACTGTCCAAGATAATAAAGATAATATCTCCCCACAAAAGATCTGTTTACTGTCCAGGACAATAAATATAATATGTCCCTCCACAGCAGTTTTGTTTGTGGCCCAGGATAATAAGATATTATCTCCATCGGGAGACAAAGGTTAGGAGACCTTGCTGGCAGCCCCCTTACAAGATTGATTCCTAAGCTCAAATGCTCAGCTGTGGCACAAACCACAGAATCCAACTTGGCTGCTCCGATCACCCCTGTGGGTTGGCTGGGCAGGGCTCCACCGGGATGGTTCATCTCTGCATGAGTGTTGACTGATTTTGCTCGGGAAGTTGAATTAGGCTGGAGGGTCCTCAATGGCCTCACTCAGAAATCTTAGCCCTTCAGCCGGGATATTTGGAAAGCTGGGGCCTCTTTCTGCTCAGACCCTTTCATCCTCGGTCTCATCACATGGTCTTCCCTGCAGACAGTTAAACTTCTTTGCTTTTTTTTTTTAATTGAGTTAATGATAGGTTACAATCAGTTGACCTTCTTTTACATGGCAGCTCAGGGCTCCAAAAGGAGGAAAATGGAAGCCACAAGGCCCCCTAAGGGCTATTCTTGGAAACTACGCAATGTCACTCCCAGCCATATTAGCTTGGTCAAAGTAAGATACTTTCATTTCAGCCTAAAGGACCCCCTCTAGCACTTCTTGTAGAGTAGGTCTCCTAGTAATAAACTCTCACATCTTTTGTTTACCTGGGAGTGTTTTAATTTCACCTTCACTTTCGAAGAATACTTTTGCCGTGTATAGAATTCTTGATTGACTTTTGCTTTAAAGGCTCTAAATACATCATTCCACTGCCGTCTGGCCTTCATGGTTTCTGATGAGAAATAGACAACTAATCTTATTGAGGATCTCTCGGATGTGATGAGGGGCTTCTCTTTCTACTTACAGGATTCTCTCTTTGTCTTGGGCTTTCAACAATTTGACTAAAATGTGTCCTGGTGTGAATCTGTTTGAGTTGATCTTGCTTAGAATTCACTGAGCTTCTTTGATGTACAAATTCATGTCCTTCACCAATTTGCAAAGTTTGGCCATTATTTCTTCAAATATTTTTTCTTTTCCTTTCTTTCTTTCTCCTCCTTCTGGGCTCCCATGATGTGTTGGTACACTGGCTGTTGTACCACAGATGCCTCAGGCTCTGTTCATTTTTCTCCCTTCTTTATTCTTTCTGCTTCTTAGACTGAATAATTTCACTTCCACATCTTCAAG